ACGAGCAATTTATTCACAAATACCCTAATTAAATGCAACGAAAATAAAAACTACGTTCGTTTTATTGGACACGACCTATTTAACAAGTAAACGAATTAGGTTCAATTGTTCAAACGCCAATAAAAACGAGTTTTCGACGCTACTCATCCATCGACTTCCGCTCTTCGGGATTAGAGGCGATCATTTTCAGACCCCGCATAAATTACCTGTTTGATTCACGATTTTTTTCTCGAGCTGGAACTCTCGGCAAATCGTGAATCATAGCACAAATATTTGTGGAGAATATTTACATTTTTAGATAAACAGGCGAACGCGACCCACCTTTACGGAGTTAATTCGACATTTGTCTGTACACTGTATTTGACAAACTGTCGTAAAGGGGTTGTTTTATGGCATTGTTCGTCTATCTAATTATTGTTTGCATTATTGAACCGTTTATGGAGCGTTGATGCGCTGTTATTTAGATTTAATTGTCGCTAATTTGTTTTGTATTGTTCGACGGGTTTTACATCCCGTTCCAACCATTTTTCCATGAAAATGATTCGTGTTTTACCAGTAACATGTTTACGCAATTTAAATAATTAACCGTAGTTTATTGCACTATTTTTATCGAACTTAAGTCAAGGTTAGTTGTGCTAAAGCTGCTTAGGCAAAAGATACAACTTGAAGATTTTATAATTCTAACAGGTGTTCTACTTTTAAAAATTTATTACTAGATCGGTAGAATAGATACATATTATTATCTTCGAAAAATCACGCAAAAAAATTAAGAAAGTTGAAGAAACGCGTCACAAAAAATTGTATTATTTTAGAACGTTTTTGATTTTTTTTTCATGTCGTATGTTGATATTTTGCAACAGACGTTCTATGATTTCTTCTGTCGTGGGAAAAAACTGGCTGAAAGTGAAGAAGAAACCTGATTTACTTTCAGCCGTGTTTTGATTTGAACATTTTGCATCTGTTGTTTTTCACTGTTAGTGGTCCACTTAAAAAATAATTGGTCCGTAATTAATTTTTTGCAAAATTTGCTGCCGGGTGCAGATCATGGATAACGGTCAACATTTACTTACAACGTGCAGTATAAACGAATTGTTGAATAATGTACAACCAAATTAATGATGGGGGTTCTAGGCCATTCTTATGGAAAATTAACATGGAATATCATCAAATCATGTATAGAACGAGTCAGAGAATTCACCCCAAATTGATTTGAATTTTTCAAAAATTTTCCATGATAATTTATTATAGGCATTTGCGTCCGTTTGTTTGTCTGTCTGCCTATTGTCTGGTGTTGTAGTGTACTTCAAAGGCGATGGAAGTTCGTTCTAAATAACGTCATTTTTTTTAAATATTATTCCATCATGCTTTGCCCGCGTGACAAGCATGTGACATCAAAAATTAAATAGTAAATCAAAACGTCGAGTTTTTCATATCCAAATTGACCTGACGAAGGGAAGTATTGATGTATGTTTTTTTTAACACAAGTTGTAAAACACGAAAATACTGGTTTCCCACTTACATCTGTTTAAGACTTTATATAACCACATTAGCTATTTTCAGATTATTGCAGAATAATAAACCATTGATAAGCATTTATATTTGTCTCAGTTACGTAACACTTTTTTTACAAATTTTTCTAAAACAGTAACCTGTTCAGGATTAACAGAGCATTAACTGACATGTATTCATAATTCCCGTATGGAAAGATGACTATCTAGAATGTAAATATTGAAAATGTCCGAGATTTAGTACTGCTGGTGCTTCAAAACCGAAGGAAGTTCGCTAAATTTTTGATCATTTGATGCATCTAAATGTACTAAAACGTCAAAATTACAGTAGAGTATTGTATATAACAGGGTCCATCCGGCGAATAGCTGTTCCTGTTTCCATTTGTCTGTCTGTCTGTCTGTCTGTCTGTCTGTCTGTCTGCCGTCCCGGATTTTTATTAGACAGATAATCTCCGAAAGTACTGGACCGATTGTTGTGAAATTTTGTACTTATATTAGGAATATCATGTAGATGGTAAAACGCTAACCAAAATTTGTCTAATCATTCCCACCACTAATGCGATGACGTCACTTCAAAATTGTACATAGTAAATGGGTCTTAAATTGTATAAAATAACGTAGTCCTACACATGTAGTTTACGACTCCGAATTCAGTTTTTACCCGAAACGTCCAGATTTTTGGAACAAAAACCAAAATTATAAAACAACATTTTGCAATTTAATTTTGAATCTGCTAACCCGAATGTTTTGAAATGTTGCAGATGTTTTAAGGCTCTAAAGAGCATCATAAATCTTTAGTCAAAATATATTTGGTTATCCCCTCCAAAAACTTGATGACGTCAGCTCAAAAGTTTGCCGAATAAATCCTATCTAAAATGTACAAAATATGATGCGTCTGTACTTGTGATATATCACTCCATTCATATTTTTTGGATTTGCATATACAGGGTGACTCAAACAATTAATGAAAGTGAGAATGCATTTTATTGATTTAATCAGGAACTACCAAACCGAATGTTTTGAAATCTTGGAGATCTTTTAAATTTATCATAAGCATGGTAAAATTTTAAATCGAAATGTATGATCCCCCTAAAAATTTGATGACGCCACCACAAAATTTTGCTAAAAAAATGCTTAAATGTGTAAAGAATGATGAGTCTCTACATGTGATTTATCACTGCAATAATATTTTTTAGATTTGCTTATACAGGGTGTCTGAAAAAAATTAATGACTGAGTCAATTGATTTTATTGATTAAATCAAGAATTATAAAAATGTAATACAAAAAAGACATAATAGGCTTGCAGTCGTCACGTTCCCGACAGCGAGGGAAGTACTGTCTAAACTCTTTAGACCAATTTTTTAAATATTATTTCATCATGCTTTGCTCGCGTGACAAGCATGTGACATCAAAAATTAAATAGTAAGTCAAAACGTCGAGTTTTTCATATCCAAATTGACCCTAACGAAGGGAAGTATTGATGTATGTTTTTTTTAACACACGTTGTAAAACACGAAAATACTAGTTTCCCACTTACATCTGTTAAAGACTTCATATAACCACATTAGCTGTTTTCAGATTATTACAGAATAATAAACCATTGATAAACATTTATATTTGTCTCAGTTACGTACAAATTTTCCTAAAACAGTAACCTGTTCAGGATTAACAGAGCATTAACTGACATGTATTCATAATTCCCGTCTGGAAAGATGACTATCTAGAATGTAAATATTGAAAATGTCCGAGATTTAGTACTGCTGGTGCTTCAAAACCCAAGGAAGTTCGCTAAATTTTTAATCATTTGATGCATCTAAATGTACTAAAACGTCAAAATTACAGTAGAGTATTGTATATAACAGGGTCCATCCGGCGAATAGCTGTTCCTGTTTCCATTTGTCTGTCTGTCTGTCTGTCTGTCTGCCGTCCCGGATTTTTATTAGACAGATAATCTCCGAAAGTACTGGACCGATTGTTGTGAAATTTTCTACTTATATTAGGAATATCATGTAGATGGTAAAACGCAAACCAAAATTTGTCTAGTCATCCCCACCACTAATTTAATGACGTCACTTCAAAATTGTACATAGTAAATGGGTTTTAAAATGTATAAAGTAAGATAGTCCTACATGTAGTTTATGACTCCGAATTGAGTTTTTACCCGAAACATCCAGATTTTTGGAAAAAAATCAAAATTATGAAAGAACATTTTGCAGTTTAATTTGGAATATGCAAAACCGACTGGTTTGAAATCTTCTAGATGGTTTACAGTTATGATAATTAATTAATTAATAATAATTTTTGATCAAAATGTAATTGCTCATCCCCCCTAAAAAATTGATGACGCCGCCCCAAAATTTTGCTAAAAAAATTCTTTCGAAAATGTGCAGACTTGTAACTTATCATTGCATTCATATTTGTTAGATTTGCTTATACAGAGTGACCAAAAAAAAATTACCAGTCAATTTATTAAAGAAAGTGAAACCAGAAGCGAAATAACTTTGGACCATTTTTTTTAAATTATTAGTATTACGCTGCACATGTCGGAATTGACATGTTGATCAAAACATTTTCCAATGGCAAAACTCAATAGAAACAGTGACATAACCTTGCGTTTTATCAGTGCATTAATGTTTTTGTAGCAATTATTACTTATTATATTAACATAATACTATCAAAGACAATGTCGGAGTATGGGTGAACAAAGTATGACGCATTGAGTTCAGAAAGACAAGTTCTACATGTTTCTTCTTACACTGCGACAGACGACAGACAGAGAGATCGACGTTTTAAATTTTTAAAAAATCTTGCAACGCTATTACAGGATATTAACTAAAATGAATTTATTTATCCGTTTCAGAAATTTGATGACGTCGTTGTTGTTTATCAAATTAATCTTATCAATGCTGTGTTGTTTGAAGCACAAAAACATGCTTGTTTATTTAATGTTTAAGTGGAATTCGAACGTATTAATTGAAGCAGGTGAGAAGTTCGCATTGATTTCTCTTATTTACTACAAATTTAAAATAATTTTCCGAATGTTGCTTACTAGAAAATAACAAAGTTTGTACATTATCCAAGTGTGAAATGAAAAATTTTGGATTAATTAAGGATGTCGTGTAATATATTGCAGACAAGGCACTTCGGATAACGTAATATCATTAATGTAATTGTGTGCCAGAGTAAGTTCTTGTTGTAAACTGGATACTCGAAAATGGATTGACATAATTGATGTAATTGTACGCCACAGTAAGTTCTAATTCGCTTTACCAAATCTTGTGTGTCTATATAAATTAATTACAGGATCGCTTTGTCTTCCAAAATCTTCGCACAATGCCTCATTTAACGTCGTTTTGTATTTCATACGTCGGTACTAACGAGAATCGACGTGATATTTACTTTTTTTTTTTGATGTGTTAATATAAAAATGGTGTCAGCGGTGGGATGAATTTTGCGTTTATTTTTTTGAAAATGTTTTTCTCGTGTTGCAGACTTTGGATTACGACCGCGATGGACTAACAAAAATGAAAAAGGCTATTAAAGCCATCCACACATCTGGAAACAGTAAGTACACTTGTTTGTTTATTTTGTACAGGTTTGCTATTACTAACAATGTATTTTATTATCGTTCATCAACACCTTTGTATTTGAGTCCTCGTTGCACTGTCCTACAAAACTGAGTTAATGTCACAGTGTTCATATTGCATATCAAGCTAATCAGCTGTGTTAATCGCCATATTCATTCACAGAACAGGTTTATTATAAATTCTGAATAAACCACACAATGTGCTTAATTTATTGTTCGATTTAAATGTTATTTTTACTGTTCTTATCGTTTTCTTACCGGTTTGGCATACCAAAAAAGAATAATACGTTCGTTCAATAAAGGATTTGAATCCCATTTCGGTATTCGGGGTGCCAGAATTGGTTATGTAATTGGGGAGCCACACTCATTCGATTGAAAGGAAGTGTGTGTGTTTATCAATTTTCCCCTTTATCATGGGAACACGAGCTGCACTAACCGTATTATCTTTGTTTTGCATTTTTTTATGAGACGTCAGTAGCGATTATATAAAATAAAGCTTTGTTTTTTCCACGTTAAATTGCAAAAAATCCAACCCAGTTCATTTAATTATTTTTCGAGTGTATAAAGCGCGGTTCTATCGACGTTTTTAGAAGCAAATGAAATTCCACAATCATTATTTTTGCCAGATGGATAAACAGCTGCGGTTTATGGTTGGTTATCGGAAGAAACACAAAACGGGCATGAGAATATATGCAAATAGTGAAGAAGTGGAACAAATTGAGTAAATGGGATCTAATTTCCCATCGCCATGTCTAATAAAGTAAGCTCACTGAACACATGTGTTAAATGTCAAATCATTTAAAATCAATCAAGTAAACGGTTTCTTGTTTTATATCGATCAAATTATGGGTTCTTGCCATACATAGAATTGGAAGTACAAGTGGAAAAATTGCACGAAGAGAAAGTGCACAAAAATCAATCAGTGAGATTGAATGAAGACCATGTCCTTGATTTGAAGCAGTTTCAAACGGGATAAAGTATGCCGACACGTTTAATTATGCGGTGAATTCAAGATTACATTTCCAGGAATAAGTGATTTCCACGGGGGCGACAAAATTTTAGACATTATAGGTCTTGCAGCTGTTACTATTTTTTGAATAACATTTGATAAGACATTACAGGATTTATTTGGCTATAGAAATCTGGTGGAAATTACTTATACTTGAAAAATCTTCCAAACCAACGAACTGCAATATTAAATAAATAATACAATAAGTAAAATGAATTAGATTTGAGTGAACCTGCTTAACCCTGAAGGGAAATTCATATATTTCTACAAAAAGAAAAATCTCACCCATTTTCATTTGATTCCACGCATCGTGCTTACCCGTCTTCCCCTGCGTCTATAGTTTCGTGGAAATATTTTCTCCTTGTCCGTTCTTGAACCTGGTCATTAATTATTTACGTGTTGCTTAAATGTGTAAACTATGTGAAGAAATAAACAGAAATTAGCAAATAGTAGATGCTAAAAAGAAAATGTAATGTTGGTATAATTTCTTCTAAATACTTGGAACAACATAAATATAAATGAGCAAGCATTATTCAAGGTAGCTTACGTGGCTTCTTATTATTTATAATGCATTGTACTTTTCACGTAGTATTGATTGCGGAGAACAGTCTCATCGATTTTGGAAGCAAAAACGCAATAGAATTCTCGGTGTCTGAAGTGTTCCAGAAGGCCGACTTCGAATGTGATCATCTTCGTAAACAAACACACCTATATCTAATTATGCTTCGATTGTTATGTGCTGTTGAATATCCCAATTACCACAATAATTACGCCGTTGCATTAAACTGCAACCGCAAGTAATTGTTGGGTATTGCAAAATTGGAAAATCCGTCATTGGTTTGTGGTTCACAGACCTCGTGCAGTATTGGTACTTTTCATCGATTTTCTCTTGAAAATCGTCTACAATTACGTTTATGATGCCATTAACCTAAACTACGGCTGTCATGTTCCTGTGGCAAATATAGACCGGAAATCGTTCGTTAAAACGTAGCACCCTCAATCTGTAGGGTTTGATTTTGCGAATCTCTTTATAGATTTTACTTCGCCAGACGAAGTAATTATTTCGGCTCATTTTAATTTTAATATCGAATTCGGTTACTTGGTAACCGACATAATACAGAGCTGTGCCCGGGGTAATGACCATTCAATAATTTTTTGTGTAGCTAATTCAGTTAAAATTAGAAATTAACGGCATGACCAAAAACCGGATACTTTATTTAAAGCTGGAAGGTTGAAATCATTTCCGGCGAAACCGAGGAACAATTAAATTGAACTTGTGACATATAATTCAATTAGGTAGCTGGTGGTCGGGTTGTAATGAGGAAAATTATTGGCCAGAAAACTAATTTTCGGTGAACGAAAAACAATAGTAGTAGCTTATCAATATTAAAGTATCGTGTTCATAAACAATTAACAATAACTGGACGCGAGACTTCGAGGTATCTTGTGTTCGTTGAATCGTAATTTGTTTATTGTCTTTCGTTTGTTACAGCCCACGTAGAAAACGAGATGTATTTGAGTAAAGCGCTGGAGAAATTGGGGAATAAGGATCACGAAGATGTAATCGGAGAAGCTTTCGAAAAATTTTCCGTCGTAACTAATCAATTGTCTCTTTTGAAGAAGACGTTGATGCAAAATTTGAATAATATTGTTATGTTTCCTTTAGATAATTTATTAAAGGGGGATTTGAGGGGTATTAAAGGTGATTTAAAGCGGCCGTTTGATAAGGCGGCGAAGGATTATGATAGTAAATACGCCAAAATAGAAAAAGAGAAAAAGCAACAAGCCAAAGAAGCGGGTCTAATTAGATCAGAAATTACAGCAGCAGAAATAGCCGACGAAATGGAAAAAGAACGAAGACTATTTCAATTGCAAATGTGTGAAGTAAGATTTGGCTAACTGTATTAAGGTTAGGTGGAATCTTAAAGCAACTGGAACGACAGCATGAAAACTTTGACTTACTTAATTTAAGTAGCTTTAAGATTCCATTAATCTGCTGTGTCGTCGTACGTTTAACCCCCGAATTTTTAGTATCTAATCAAATATAACGAAATTAAAACAAAAAAGGGTATAGATTTGCTCCAAAATTTAGTCGAATATTACCATGCTCAAACCAAGTGAGTATTCACATTACAGTCGCTTTTCGGTACTAATGCAACCACCAGTTATTTTCAAGATGGCTTGAAAACTATCGAACATTTTGGATTTTACGTAGCGGACCTTAGTATTAAATTACAGAAAATCAAGCAAGTGCAGGACGACGAGAAACGAAAATTGACAGACCTAAGAAATTTAATTAAGTCAACGCCGAGTATTGAAAAGGAAGTAAGTGCGTACTGTGCTGTAGCGGTGATGTTTATTCTATTTTTCTGGTTCGTTCTCGCTTAGGTAAGTTTGCCGGTTGATAAAGGAGCTGCAGGTTATTCGTTACACCAGCTCCAAGGTGATAAGCATCACGGGGTTACGCGAAGTGGACATCTCCTTAAGAAATCCGAAGGAAAAATGCGACGAGTTTGGCAAAAAAGAAAATGTAGAGTGCAAGCTGAAGGTTATTTAGAAATCTGCCACGCCGATGAAAGTAAACCACCCACCAAAGTGAACTTGCTCACCTGCCAAATTAAAGTAGTGCCTGACGACAAACGAGGCTTTGATTTAATTTCGTGTATGTTGAAATGAAAGTTATTATATGTATTTTTGATAATTTTGTTTTAGATAATCGGACTTATCATTTTCAAGCGGAAGATGAAGCGGATCAACACGCCTGGATGTCCGTGTTAATTAATTGTAAAGAAATGGCTTTAATGAAAGCTTTTGATAATAGCGGTAAAACGGGGAGTGATAAGGTTAATCATAGTTTAATCGAATTGCAACAGGCTATCATACGCTATATACAGAAGATTCCAGGAAATGACAGATGTTGCGATTGTAACTCGCAAAATGGTAACAAATTTTCCCTAATCAATCACAACTTTATCAATATGCATTTTAGACGCCACATGGTTATCAACAAATTTCGGTATTATTGTTTGCATTGAGTGCTCAGGCATACACAGGGACTTGGGTGTACATATTTCCAGGATTCAATCTTTAACGCTCGACAATGTTGGAACTAGTCAATTGGTACTCGCCAGATTTATGACAAATCATAGTTTTAATGATATTATGGAAGCTCAGTTATCACCAAATGATAAACTCGAACCGTCCAGTTCTATGTACGTATGACGCGACTTCACGAGGATTTTTTCATGTTTTTGGGTTACAGGGAAGAAAGACTTAATTTTATTAGAGCAAAATACGTAGACAAACAATTCGCTGAAAAAATGTACGAAAACGAACTAGATAAAATTTACGAATTGGAAGAAGCTGTTAATAAAGGTGATCTAGCGACGCTTCTTCAAACGTGGGCGGAAAACGTCGATTTTACCTCACCGTTACCTTCTTCAGTAGGTACTCAAGTTGGGTCAAAAACTTGCATTAATTTCATTTCTATAGAAAAATGGCGAAACGGCGTTGCATCGAGCGATATTAAACGAAGCGGGAAGGACGTTGCATATAGTAGATTTTCTCATTCAGAATATGTCCAGTTCAGCAATTGATAAAACAACGAATCCCCCTCCAGGTTTGGAAAATTGTGGATCAAATACGGCTTTGCATCTTTGTGCCATTTACGATAAAGTAGAGTGTATGAAGCTTCTCTTGAGAAGTGGTGCTAATGCAAACCTCAAAAATTCTCAGAACAAAACCCCTATGGATATTGCTCAAGAGTTGGGCCACCATACGTGCGAAGATCTGGTAATTATTTTACAATTTCTTTTGGTGCGCGACCTGAAAAGAATCATTCAGTCCCTTTAGAACTTTCATTATATAAAAAATTAGTAGACCATTATGGTATATAAGAAAAACGTCTTAACATAAGTTATATGACTTAAAATTCAAAAAGCGACACTCATAAGAAAACTTTGGACATATACATATCTACTATGTGAACCTTGAGGAACGTTACTTCAATTTGTTCCTAAGTATCGGACAACCTAACCTTCCACCATAAGGCTTCTACCGCTAAGGTATGAAGCCTAGAAGCTGTTTCACTGCTCCTATACTACCTGAAGACCTGAAAGAAGTAGCCGGATCGTTGGGGATAAAGTTGATCCCCGAGAGTCAGGGAGATCTCCTTTTCCTGACTAAATGAACTACTTGCTCCGACAGTACTTGATCCCTCGGCTCCTTTATGGGTTCCAGAACCCCAGTGTTACAGGCGGTTTGCTTACAGTAGCCGACCGGTTAATTAACAAGTTTGTGAGGACTACATTTGAACATCCACACCCCAGATGCGGTCATCCACGCTTCGGCGTGGATGTCCCCCCGGACCAGGTGTGGAAGGAGAGGCTACATGCGGGTGAAATGACGGCGGGTCTCTGAAGCGCCTCTGGTGATCCTGCAAATTCTACCTGGTCTTAAGGGCTGCTCCGGTAAGGACTTCGTGCGAGCTGTACAGCTCCGCACGGAAACCCTACCGGTAGTCCGGGTGCCTTATAATCCCCAACCGGCCAGGCAGTGCAGGGGTTGTCGCCAGAGGATAGAAACCTTGTCCCACAGGGATGTCCTGTGATGCACGGGATGAGGATTCGAAGTCACAAAGTAGCCCGTTATGTAGCGGTATCAGGGTTAACCGTCGAGTGGGAACCCGCGACGGCACCCTGTATAAGCCCGATCTCGTTATCCACACTGCGGGGGTTATTCTGGTGGTGGACGTCCAAATCAGTTGGGAGTCGGGCAGTCGTACAATTTCCGAAGTCTGAGACCTGAAACGTCGCGTGTACGATCAGCAAAATATCCGTGAGGCAGCAGCCCGACGGTGGCCAGGAAAGGGCTTCAGGTTCTGTCCGCTCATCCTGGGGGTTAGGGTTTCTGGTCCCAATGCAACCAGGTGACGGAAGACCTGTTGAGGATCCCTGGTCATTTGAAGGCTTCCTGCGTTAATTCGGTCCTCAAGTGGGGGTCGAGCATCCACTCGGCCTTCATGAGGACCGTCTTGAACTTCCGGCGTTTCCAAATCAAAGAATATCAGTCGTTCTGCGTCACCACCGTGGATCTTTCCGATATATCCACCACCGGACACTCGCTCTGTGAACCAACTAGAAGATAGAGGTCATAACGATCATTTAAAAGTCCCATGAACAGCCTGCGCTGAAGCTCTACTGAGCTTCAAGACACTTGTTTTCTGACCAATAGGAGTGATAGCTGACGCGTTAATCATGAATGTTGGTGAATTTATAGTGTAAACATTTCTGGTGTATGGGGTACACCTCCTGTGCCTTAGATACGAAAAACAAAACAATACTAATACTGGCAACAGTATTCGAATGGCGTCTTCAAAATGCCATCTTTTCACTGTACAAGTTTCATTAATGCAGAAAACAAAAACAAAACATACTAATTTTCGTCACTGGTTATAAATTATCGTGGAAGTCTGTAGTTGTTTATTTGTCTATCAAATTAGAAACTATGCGCGACCAATTGGAGTAGACACAAATGATTACCCATGATGTGTAAATCATTCACGAATTAGTATCATCAATGCAGTAAATTAGTTGAAAATGTGTCAAACTACCCTATCCTTGATTAAAGGACAGATGAAACATTAACTTTCGTTTTTTTTTTTTGCTATGTGCAGCTTGTCAACGCCGCCAACAGGCAAAAAAGCTTTTTTGATAACATCAACATCGATTGGAACTTGTCCCATGATGATGGTTCAACAGACTTTTCGGATGACGAAACAATAATAGAGGATAGAGTAGGTGTCTCGATGGTGCATTTGCGCATTTTATTGTGTTGTGTTTTTAGAATGGTTCTTTAACACCAGAAAAGAAAAACCGTTCCCGCCCACCGAGTTACACCGGGGGTGATTCCCCGGTAACGCTGCGTTCGCGATCGTCCACTTGTGACAGTCTACAATTAGGAAGTAGTCCAAATAGTAACAATAGGCAAATGCCGCCTCCACCACCTCCACAATCCCGAAAGCCAGGTAGGAAATAAAATCGGTTAATTTTTCGTGAATCTGACTGATCATTTTGAAGAATTGTTAGTCCATGCCAGTTTAAAGAAACGAGTGGCTCCTTTACCACCACCTCCAAACTCCATGCAACTGCAGTATGGGACTTTACCAAGTAGTCATAGTCGAACACCATCAGATCCTATAGCTGCAGGGTACCACACTTTAAGTCATACCCATAAGCGTTCACCGAGCAGTGATTCAAGCTCAGGTAGATCTGTGATACCTATAGGTGAGTTTTCGTCGTCCCCTTTTTGTTGTTTTTGTATTTCAAGCGAGATTTTAGGAAATAAACTAGTCATATCTTCAGATTGTAAGAGTTCTGATAAACTTGGAATGGTGCGGAGGCCCCAGAATCCTCCACCGCCAGCACCTAATCCATCAAATCGTCTTTCAAACGGTCGCTCAACGGAAAGTATTTCATCAATGGCGTCTGATATTGATGTACCAGGGTCGGGTCATAATCCCATACCGCCACCAAGAAGGGTGAGTGAAATATTCCCTATACCATAATATTGTAAATGTGCACTGTTAGAATGGGATATGACGTATTTTTGACTTGAAAACTAACGATTGAGTATATATTTTTGAGCCTGATTGGTTTGCAGAGGAGATACAAGTTTCGTTTGGAAAGTTGTGCTGAAGAGAATGATGTTTCTATTATGGTAAACATGCTGTCGTGTTCTAGCATGTTTGAGTGTGCGCTCTACATTTCTCTAGCTTTGATTACTTTTTGTACGCTTGAACTAATATTATGTTAACGTGATTTACGAATTTGCTGGAACCAATCAGTTTGACTATAATTTCGTAACATAGTTATGCTTTGTTGCATCTTTTTTATTAACTTGTGCCATCACAATACTCCCTATTTTGTGACGAGTTCAACTAAGTTTGATTAAATTTGCAGGCGTCAGATTCTCCTCCTCACAAAGTATCGTCTAGTCCAATCTCTACTGGATCTCTTTGCTCGCCACGCTCAATGATGACCGGAAGATTACCATATACACCAAATGGGAGCAATGGACTAAAGAGATGTAGAGCTTTATATAACTGCAGTGCAGATAATGACGATGAATTATCCTTTAGTGAGGGAGAAATTATTATTGTTATAAATGAACACACTGACGACGAAAATTGGATGGAAGGAATGGTCGAAAATGAACCCGAAAGAAAGGGAATGTTCCCTGTAAGTTTTGTTCACAGGCTACCAGATTAGTAGTTGCTGACTTGAATTATTTTAAAAGATATTTTATTGAGTATATGGTTTAACAAGTGTTTCAAAAATTTGTTGAATATTTTATGAAACTTTAAGATTCTTTTTAATATACGTTGGCTCGGAATAACAAACTTGTGTCCGCGATTTTTGATGAGATAATTACTCTTATAGCTGTTTGATGTAAGAGTAAAAATTGCTTGAAACAATTTTTGCGGCCGAGTATGTTTCGACTCGACGTATTAAAGGTTGTATCAAAATTGTTTGTAAGCCATATTTGTCGTGTAGAGTTACAATCTAGTTTCTGCCATAATTTCTGTATTTATTATTTTTTAATCATTAAATTTGTATTTATTTAATGACATTACATGGTTCAGTGTATATATAATTTATAATTGTTGTGAGCCTGGAAATGTTTTGTTCCTCAGAATATTAAATTTGACTGATGTACCTATTTGTCACTTGCTTGATTACATTATAAAAGCATGTTTGTGTATATAAAGTCATATTTTTGTAGAAAAATTAATTTATACAAGTGATCGCCTGTTAGAATTCTTAAACCAAAGAAAAATCTATTGTTCTTATGCAGATGTAGTATATATAGCTATGAATATATAAATTGCCAGTGTACATATAAGATAACTAAGATGTGTATTATTAGGTAAATGAGATATTTATTTATTTCGCAAATTTGCGGTAAGCACAATATTCATTTTCAATTGATTTACCATTTTAATATTTATGCACAATTTTATTTTGTATTGTTTAGTAAAAATACCAAAACTACTTTTTTATATTAACTGTATTTTATTTACAGTATTGTTTGGGCACAAACATGCTATTGACATTTTAATGGCTTTTGATGTACGTAATATATTTCCTGTAACTAATAATTAGCCAGAATGTATTGTAGATACTGTCAAGTATTGAATACAATTTTATTAAATACTCAGTATACCATCATTGATTGTTCAAATAAATTCGCCAGGTCTTCTTCAGATTGTTCCCTTGGTGCCATCTTGGTAATGCGACTCTGAAAATGTCACTTTGTTAAATTAATAAGTTCGTAACAATGTACTTTTTTTTAATAAGTAAGCATAACATAGAATAAGACTTAATAGGTTAAAAAACCAGTGTTCACCAGAAAGACTACTTGTCTGAATAAAACATTAGATTATTTGTGGTTTAATTATAGTGTAATCGCATCTTCGTGGAAAAGAAGTCATTACTGAACACTAATGACGTCTCTATAACTGATACCTGTGGTAATGTCCCTTTCACAAGCTCGGGAATGTCTTCTTTCACAAAACCTAACGCAGATAGCCCGTTTTCTATTTTCATTACGTCCATATACTCCCTCAAGACCTCAGAAAGAACTTTTCCGGCGTCATCCCTTTTAGCGTTTCGCGTATCAGTCCCTAGAATTTCAGCCGCTTCTAGATGTCTTTCAGGACATGCAGGTGCTGTGAACTGGAACACCGCTGGGGCACTCATCACTACTGATAACCCGTGGGGAATAATAGGGTGATCAGGGCTACAACCACCAAAACTAAAGCAAACCAGAGGAAACATAGTGGCCTATACCTGTAATCTTGTGGTTTGAAGGTTTTGACGTTGCCTGATATGGGGTAGGACAACCCGTGGCATAAGTGTACACCAGCGTTACCAAAACCTACCCCGGCCATCGTCGACGCTAAATGCATTGCAGACCTAGCTTCTAAATCGTCGGGGTGATAGACAGCCCTGGAAGAACGTGGTCATTTTCGCAACAAAACTGGGGCACAAACCTTTGGAAATATTTTCGGATGATGTCTAGTGCGAAGCGAGCCCAAACGTCTGATATGGGGTTTTGGCCTTGGTAGGTGGGTCGTACGGCAGGGTTACTCGGACACGGGGTTCTTTCATTGAATGGAATAGCAGTGAAAGATTCTAACGCGTGACAGAAAACATCAAACCCCGCGTACGCGGCTACTTTTTCTGGAAGCGTTAGAGTGTGTAGTGGGTCGATTATGCCTAAAGTGGGTCTTAGGGCTTTGTAAGATATGCCAGTTTTGCAATGTAAGGGTTTGTAGTCAAATATAACAACTCCTGTTGTTTCACTACCGGTGCCTGATGTTGTCGGGACTGGAATGGACAATGAGGTTCGCGATTCCGCGTGACTGATTAAACTTACTAGCTATTAAGGGTTTGAGAGGGTTTTCTACAGGTTTGGCTTTGCCTATGGGTGCATTTACGAAGTCCAGAAAGTCAGCGTTAGGGTTTGAAGCGTATAAATTGGCTGCTTTACACGTGTCCATTACAGATCCTCCTCCCACTGCTACGTAAGCGTCGAAATTGCTTCCTTTGGCAAATGCAATGGCATGTAATAGACTTTCTTCCGTTGGTTCGACTCGACTTTGGTCATATACTTGAAACGTAACACCACTACGGGTTAGAGAATCTAGAGTGGCTTGTACCGGAGGAAGTTTAACTAAATTGGAGTCAGTCATGACGCAGACGTTTTTAGCATTCATGTTGACAACGTCCATTCCGACTTCTCTGGTGACCCCTTCGCCGTAACGAACAGTACTAGATACCATCTTTCGGAAAACAAAGGTTTATATTACGGTAATTAAGCGCCTGAAGTAGACGAAGATGTAGAGTTGCAACGTGCGCCTAAATTTAGACAACGCATGTTGCATCCGCTTGCGTGAATGTGTGCCTTCATTAATTATTAAATTGTCGTTAGAAGGTCAGTTTTAATTAAATAATTTGGATTCATGCATGAGAGATTAAATTGTTTTAACAAGGATAAAGGATACTTACTTCGAAGGCATACTCCTTGGACGGCAAACTGCCGGTATGTACCCTACCTACGTTGGCGTGGGCAGGACATTTGCACCTGAAAAGTATGCCACGTCGTATCCTAGGATTTAGTCGTTGTTTTTACTTACGAATTCGATGTTACTAAGTAAAGCAGATTTAGAACTTTTTGTCGAGAGACCATTTTTAGGAAGTTCGATCGTTCACTACACCGTCGCGCTATGGTGTCAGCTCGGAATTACTTTCAATTCTACACGATATAAACAAGTCCAAAGGTTTAATTATAATTCTCGAGTTTGGACTCATATCTTTGTTGATATTTTTTATAACTCTGAATTGTGAATCTCGGAATCAGTTTCTTCCAGCCATGCCGAGTTCTCATCCTTATGAATAAATTCAATGACGTGACATTGCACATGTTGCTATTTAGAGTAACGATCATAGACATTATCATTATTGTCTTAAATTGTTTTGAATGTTTTGAGTGCTCCGAAATTATCTTATTTGTTTAGAAGATCTTTAATCCGCTGAATCTGATGTTGAAACATTTGACACGCAGATTTTTCTTCTGGTAAATAGACATTTCTAGAGTCACGTCGTTTCAGAATTGCGAATACAATGTTTACAAACAAAAGATTTGCGTTAATGCGGACTTTACAACACAATTTGTTTATCGCAGCGTTCAATCACATAAACTAAAAATGGAAACTGAGTGAAACCATACTATACATATCGTATCAAAAGATAAGATTCGTGTCGACTAAGTACCTACCTGTCCAGACGTTTTATTGCGTTCTATGTGTACATGGTGATACTTAATTTAAGGAAGCAAGAAGTGCATAAACATTTTTGTGGTTGAATACCTTCTCGACACACAATTAACAACTATGCGTCATTTACATAATTTGATTGAGACATCTACGTCAAATACCTAAATAAAAAAAATAGTCTGCAGAAATCAAAAACTTAATCGTCAATAATATAATTTATATAAATCGATTTACATAATTAACTATTTTTTCGATATACAACATAACAGGATTTATATTTAAATACTTATGACGTTATTACTTAGCGATTAATATTTTTGAAACAGGGTACTTACACTGGCAGGATTAATTTTGTTTGTATATATTATCTATAAATGTTATCCAACAACTTGATAAAATTTAAATACCTGTTTATTGCAGACGCCGAAATAATGGCTACATAATGTGTACACTCTACTTAAAATATCTGGACTAGCGAAAATTAATATTTCTACCCTTTTGATAAATAAGTCGCCGGATATAACTAGAAACTCAGAAAATATGGTGCTTTTTTGTATTTTTCTTTTTGCAAATGCGGGTTGTGGGTGTTCGGGGGCCCCTAGATCGGCGTAGTGTAATTCGCAATGTAGGGCAATCCAACGATCCGCGTTAAATATCTTTATCGTGGTTACACACAGAGCTCTTCATACTTACACAGGATAATGTACAAAATAGACCTAATAGAATGAAAATTATAAATAACATAAATTTTTGCTTGCGTTTTTTTTTTGTTCAAATGTCAAAACTTTCACCTTTTAGAGGATATAACTATGTAACGAAATTTCCATTGTGTTCATTGAAATGTTTATAAATGAATATCTTTATCGTGTAGAGTTTATTTATTTTTAGAAACATAAGTACTCAGTTTTTAAACTCGTAGTGGAAAAGTAATAGACCTCTCACAAGAATTAATACTGTACCACGATTAAGGGTGCTAAAGGTTTAAACTTTCATGATTAATGACACGTCAATTTATGAGAGGAAATCTACTTTAGATTCGTCAACGTGACAAAGGATACAACGTCCAAGTTGATATGACAATCATTTTAAAGATAGACACTGTCTGAAATGAGACGAATCTGTGTCTTTTATTTTGACTGTAACTAATACCTGATAATTATACAATCGAGTTGTTCTGATTTAAAAACCGGACAGTGATTATCATGATATAGGTATAAATTTCAAATATCAATTTTAACAAATATCTTGTTTTGAAGAAATTGTTTAGACTAAAGTTGGTATATTTCTGCTACTGTATCGTTTGTATTTTTTTTTATACAAATAATTGTGAGAGAATACGAATCAGTTTCAAAAAACGCGAAATAAAATGAGTTGCGCCTGTCATGTATAGATGGCGGTGTATTCCTCAGTGCTGCTAAAATTCCAATACATTCAAGAACTTGTATACCTACATCTAAGAATATATTTATAAACAGACACTAGAAGCGTTTACCTGTAATTGCATATTTGTCCAAAGTGAGAAATTGCATTAAATATTAATTAGCAATAATAAAGTTCCGACTAAAAGCATGTCGTAATTACACTTTTATGGTTTTACGTTTTTAATTTAGTTAGATGTCGCATGAGCGCAACATAGTCTAATAATTAACAAACGTCATTTGAGACCGAATTGACATGCTGCACCAAATAAATATGTATGTTCGTCTTATCGTATCTTTCGATCCATGATTAATCTGCAACGTTATTTGTACTGAACTTCCCTCGTCTCTCAAGCGTGACAATTTTTAAAAACAACACCATCAGCTGTTTTAGTAGGATTTATTTAAGAATTTTTCGAGATAGCGTCACCCACATTCCTGGCAATATGATGAAATCAATTTTGGATAATTGGATTAGCATTTGTACGTAGATCCTAGATAAATATTTGTTTGACAACTCATCTATACAAAATTTAAAATAGGGATAGATCATGAAACTATAAGTGAAATTTATTTGACAATTGTATGAAATGAATAAAAAAGATTGTGTGTCTTAAGAATTACTTAAAATTTTGAAGTAGTTGTTTGGGAAACCTGTATTTTTGTACTCTTCTGTCTACGCAAGGCTGGGAAAGTGGAATGTAGAAAGTGTAACAATTACTAGTCGGATAATTAACAGACACAATTTTTAAAAAGATTGCCGAATAAATATACATAGTTCAACGTCAGACTTTATCTAAATAATCATAATTAATTTACGTCATGCTCATGTGACTTATAATTTAGTCCCTAATATAAACACTGTTGCGATATGAGTACTAAATAAAAGTCATTAAATATAGCTTTTTCCAATATTTCGACTAATACAAGAAGTATTGCGTGGGATCTGAGTACATCGAATCATCTTAAAACGTATGTCTTAACAATGTATAAGAGTTTCGGTTAAATTTCGATTATAATCATATTGATTTAGATAAGCAACAGATATTTTTTCTACTTGGAAGCAATACGCTTTAGAATTCGTCTGCTTTACATTTCTGTGAATGACAATGCGCCAAAAAATAAATTGTGTTATTTACGTTTAAAAGAAAAAAATCGAACAATGGCAACAAAAATTCTTAAGGTAAATTATTTTCACTTGACGACTCAAAGTGATCCTCGTAAACTCGGCTTTAAAATTCATTATTTTCTCTGGAGACAACCAAGATAAAGTTGATAATATCAACGAAAGCATTAAACAATACGATTGTATCTAACGAGTCATTATTGTTCTTTCAGCAAAACACACTCCAAACTGGATTTTTTTTATGTTGTAGATTTATGATTTGTTGTTTGGAATCCGTTATTTAAATGTTTTTTAATCGTTGCTTGCTGATAACGATTTTGTTATTTTTGGGAGGTTGACTGCCCCGGGTCCTTGGACTCGTTTATTCTAATAATGTGTCCACTCGTCCAGACAATTTAAAAGGAATAATTCGTTGCTGACTGAATAATAAATAATGAAGCGATATAGTTTCTTGAATGCGACATAATTTGTGTGTGTGAGAAAGACAGGTTAAAGATTTCGCACACTTATTACTATTATTATTATTATTATAATTTATCAAAGAGTAATTGTTTTTGTGAAACGATAAACCACCTCACGCAGTTATTGTGTAAAAGTAATTATTCATTAATTCAATCAATTACAAGACATTAAAATGTGTAATTTTTATTGAAACAGTCGATGCCCCAAGAAGACAGATTAGTATTTATCGCCTTCTTTGTTTTAGACTTATTATCTCGATTTTACTTCCGGAATACATCACTAAATTTGTTGAGATTGATAATATCGTGAGATTTTCATGAATGACAATAAGAGCATCGTTTGACCTATCCTTGACCTCTGTTTTGACCATACGGAACGACTAAAAGTTCAAACAAATGTCATCGTTTCTTGCATGTATATTTTTTGATTCTAACCTGTCTGATCAAACTCCAGATACAATGACAGCTATGTGATAGATAGCCGTCGATAAACTGTCAAACTCCATAAAAAATTACAGATATATTTGGGCTACGTGACCATTTAGGTTAACTACCTGTTTTCCTCACTTCATTCTATTGTGTCGCTGATAAAGGATCAAGCGCATGATCAACTATTGTGATTAAAAATTAATCGCGACGTATTGTGTTACATGATCGTGTTTGGATTCTGTGATTACGGGAAAACTCGCAAGACGCAATTTTCCGTATCCCTGTCTTATCCTGTTACCTGTAACTGAACTTGTCATTGCGATCTAGATATCTGTTTGAATAGACTCACACCTAAAGGGAAACAGGAACATAAATGTATTAACATGTTAACAGATACACCCCCTAAATTCATAACTAGGCTGTCTTAAACTTTGAAATTGAATAGTGATTAAATTTGATTCAAAACAATGTCTCTTACGATATCAGCCAATATTGTCCAATAAAGAAGGTGTACTTATCTATTGTCGTACGATAAGTATAATTTACACTTACAAACAATTATGGTGTTGTTATGGTGCACCTTTAAATATACCCCGTGAAAAATATTCCCAGAATTTCGACTCAAGGAACATTTACAACGAACAAGAAATTTATGAACGTCAGACGTAATTTATTTTTTGTTTACCCTTAAAAAACAAGTTTACACTTTTGTTTATCAGTGTAAAGGGCATTGGCTACCAAAATAAATAGTTTTATCGTGTTGCCCTATAAGACTTTTCTATTAATTAAGGCCATGGACAAAAATTGTATGAAGTTCATTGTGCTTAGAATGCAATAAGTATTTGCACGAATATTGGCGACAATTGCATATGTCAAAAAAGTTATGGGTACTGTGGTATCATTATCACTATTGAAAAGTAACCTTAATCAAAGAGCAAATAAGTCTAATGCAAGAATAAGAATGATAATGTTACTTTCATTCATGGTACGGTGCATACATTGGTGTATCTGTTTCCATTCAACAGGTAGGTAGTATCAGGTTTACTACTAAATACTGATACGTGATAAAAATCGTATTTAATGATATGTTGAATAGCCATTTTCATAAAACATGTATCTGTACCATGTTTGTCACACGAGAACCGCATAGTGCAACTCTGCCTAAAAATATCAAATTTTACAGCAATAGTATGGCGTGCAACGATGTGATAGTTACGCCATTATGAAAAATTTAGTCATACAGGATATCGAACCGACATCCCTTTCCACAAATTTAATTTTTCTAGATCAGCCAAGATTAACAATTCCCACCTGTACGTGTTAAAGCGCCGCTTAAATATAAAGTTAATTTCCGATGAATGAGTTGATTTATATCTAAAACAAGTGAGATTAGAATTCGCTATTCGTTATATATCTGTAAATAAAATCATTGTGCAATGTCAAACCATGATATTGCATTTATTTTTACATAAAGAGTTGATTTTAGTACAAACTGAGTTATCTGCAATCCGAACATTACTTCCCAATGTAAAGTGAAAGTATTTGAGTCATCACGAATTACTAATGTTATCGCTTTTTGCAAACATCGGAAACAAGGAAAATTAATACACATTGTATTTAATATATTCGTGCTAAATATTTTACTACGAATATAAAACATAAGTTTCAGACTTTAAATTGCAACACTTACCTTGAATTTGTTTTTTGGGAAATCCGCTATTCAATTCTGTCATCGATGTTTCCTTGAGTTCTTGAAATAAAAAACCTATCACACCAATTTACACCTGCGGAATTTATAATAAATAATTTTTGATGTAAAAAGGGTAATGTTTAATACTAGACCAAATTGTTGTGCAATCGAGGATTTCGAGTTTGGTTTTCGGCGCCAAATTTCGTATATTCGAATCGTGAAAGTAAAATTTGACAATACTTTTTCACGGTTAAAAACTAAATATGTTAGCAATTTGCATCTACATAATAATGACTAGTAATTTGGCGATAATTAAGATAAACATAAAAAATTTGATCGCAATACAGTGATGTATCAACAACCAAGATGGCGCCTGTGGCTACTCTGAAATTCGAAAACATCAAGTGTTGTCAAAAATCTATATATAATTTCGACTTTTTGTTATATAAAAAAAGATCGACACAGTTGAACAAAACTATAAAGAGTAAATATTAATGCAATCTTTGTTTATAGTCTGCTGTCAATTTTATCTTTAAAAAAATAAAGTAATTATGACATGCGATAGATAAAAGGTAAACACACTTCTATCTAAGAAACTTGCTTAACTACAATGTTTTCGCATTAATTGGGAAACACCGATGATCAAAAATTGTTATCTTTTCTGGCTACAGGAAACCTAGTCATGGGGCTTTTACAAACAAGAAACACCCTTTTAATAATTTATTGTCGTTTGATTATCTACATATTTGGGGCATTATATGATTTGTATGGCATAAGTTAATTAAATGCAACTGAGACTGTATATTATAGTATTTTCATCTATGTAGTTCGGGAAACCTACGTATGGATAAACAATAAGCGCAATAAGATTAACAACTATCTAAACAATACATTTAAAAAACACAGTATCGCAGTCAGTAAAATTATGGTAGTGTATTATGAACTGATGGTGTTTGTTTAAATTCGTACCGATTTATGACAGGTGTACGTGGGCCAGAAAGTTCTTCTGATAGTGGTCGATAGATAGAACCACTGTGCTTCTTTTGACCTGGTGTAGTATGCCACAACGGTATCTTTAGCCGTGGAAGGTTGCCACCACGCACGTTGAAAGCCTTGTTTCGCTTCAGAATCAAAAGCGTGATTACTACAGCGACAAACAAAACCAGAAGTGCTGTCAAAATAAATACCGACGTAATAGACAAAATGTAGGATGCTTTTGCCAAATTCAAACTATTAGTTGTCAAAACTGAAGCTTCAACACCGTCATCTTCACCATTTTCGGTGTCATAAAACGCTGAATTCTCATCAATTTCGTCTTCGTCTTCATAATCCACATCATCGTTGTCGGTTATTTCTTCGTCATCGTCTGGCAATGGACAATCCGACAATATAATTTTGCCCCACTTGGGCTCAGTTTTATACATAACTTCCGCATCAAGTTGCAGGTCTTCGTGTGTTTTCATTTGTGTATCTTTAGGGTACATCAAGTTCCCCGTCAAATATTCAATCAGTTTGTAGAAGTCTGGACACTGAAGTGGATTACCTTGCACATCGATTGATTTGTATTTTGGAATTATCTTCATGTCATCGGCGGTAAGTTGATTTAGTTGGTTGTTATCAACGAATAACTGCTCCAACGAGGGAAATACGGCTTTGTGATTTGCCCACAATAAATTCAAACCGCAGTTACTAACATTCAACGTCTTCAACGACGGTAAAGCTTTGAAAACTTCCGGGTTCAGAGGCAAGAGTGGATTATTAGACAAATCAAGAGTTTCCAGTTCCGAATTATTTCCAAACGAATTTACTCCAACGCTTGTAATTTCATTATTGGACAAAATGATTTCCTTAATGTTGCTCATCTCTGTGAACACTCCGTCAATATCGTTGAGTTTGTTGTTAGACAGGTCAAGCGTTACAAGTTGATCCATATCTTCAAATGAACCTTTAACGGACTTCAAACCACAGTTTTTGCAAGAAAAGGTGCGAATGTGGAATATGCTTTCTTTGCTGCGGAACTTCGGCAAGCGTTCAAACTGGTTGTTGTCTAGAACTAAGCTATCCAGTTCGTAGTTCTCCAAAAAGATATCATCGTCCAACTCCACCACTTTGTTGTTTGATAAATCTAGATTATTTAGGTATTTCATGGGTTCAAACACGTCGAGCGGTAAAACTGAAATCTCGTTCCCGCTTAAATACAGGGTGTTAAGCACAGAGAGATTTTGCGTGGTGTGGCGATCTAATGTTGTTAATTTGCAGTGTTTGAGGGACAAGATTTCTAATTTGGGTTCGAAAAGTAGATCCAACGATGTCAAAGGATTGTGGTCAAGGTACAGAACGATGAAATTGGGATTTTCAACAAAGAGACTTTGTGGCAATTCAGTGATGCTATTGTTTATCAAGGACAGGTTTTCCAAATTGATGGATTTACTGAAGGTACCTTTATCGATAGTTTTGATAAGGTTGTCTGCCAAATTCAGAAGCCTTAAATTTGGCATATTGTCTAAGTTTGGTACTTCCGATAAATTACAATCGTTGATAGTGAGTTCCTCCAAGTATGGTGAGCTCAAATTGGGTTTTTCGGCGAACTTAGTTCTTAGAAAAGTGAGTGAAGTCAACTCGGGCAGCAACTCGAAAGCTTTAGGTCGAATGGACTCGATGCTCGCATCTTCAAAAACGACAGTTTTGACTTCGTCGAATCCAGTAAACGCATCGTCTTCGATATGTGTGATTTTAACGTTAGTAAAACTGATCACGGGAGTCTCTTTGGGAAGATCACTCAGGGTGATTTTTGTTAGAATAAGTGGGCTATCACAGTCTCGTATTTTCAGATTTCTTGTGTACAAGACGTCACATTTACAACCACTAATGCAACTGGTTTGGGTGGCAGTCGTCACTAACGCCGGGACAGCGACGACTAGTAGCAAACAAAGGGGGTGTATTCGCATCTAAATTAAAAAAAGATAATTAGACTCAATTTCGCAATACGTATTTCTGTGTCGCTTATATCAACAAAGATAACGCGTTTATGCATTGTGCTGACACGTAGATAAGCTGACTAAATTGCTGCGAAATACAATAATTCAGCAATTGTGTAGTCAAAAATTGTCAATGTTGCCCGGTTGTCTGGTCACTTAACTTAAGCTAACCTTGATGCACCTTCTCGTTGCGCATCTTACTGAGACAGTTTCTAATTAGCGAACGACAAAGAAGTTCCGATTTGATCTAGTTAATAACGAAAATTATTAAAAGTACTCACTTTTTGTGTAATCGCACCGAGCGCTGTCACTCAGTCTTGTAATCGGGGCGAGACCACCACTGAAATTGTGAAGCGAACACTTTATCGAAGTGTACTACTTCGTTTACGATTTAATTTCTACCTGTTCATACGTACCTTCGAACGACCAGGTAGAGGCATCCCCACCATCGCTATGATTAGAACTGGAACTGACTGACAGATGGTGCTAGTGCTTCGAATTTTAACTATAGACTCGGGTACAGAACTTGTCATTGCGTAACGCATTTTCACGTCCACCGCAGAACTCTTTAGTTGTGAACTCACTCTGTATTCACCATCGTTCAAAGTTGAGCGCGCGCTCTCTTTAAATCCGGCCGCTCGTATTTTTAAGCATTCACGAAGTTTCGTACGACCAGTACAGACAGACACTACTAATTCATTAAGCATTTATTAAATTTATGACTGACTGTAATTCGATAGTAAGATAAGAACATTTATGTTAAGTTCCAACATGTGAGTGCAGTGAGGTCTGGACAGCGGTTACAGACAGTTTACCAAGTGCTAGTGCAGCTCCCGAGTGCATCTTGCAATTTCGCGTAAGTTCTTTTTTAAAAACAATTTTCATTCGCGGTAGTGTGACTAAATGAATTTCAATTATCGTACTTGAACTTATTTCCGATAGGTCAAACAATTCGCTGAAGCAATGTACCATTAAATTAAGTTTTTAAAATTTTATTTCGGATGGTTTATGATCGTGATTGTTTTTTAAGTGACTGCTCCCTTTGAGAAAAAAAATTAACTTTGGAAGTGCGAGCAGTTCTTGCGTCCGCAATTGATAAAATTTGCATTTTTTTATTCGAATTGAATGTCACTACAATGGCGTTTGAATAATACAATTCGTCCAGTTGTATTTGGCAATAAGAATGAAACTTTCTCTTTCGTAGTAATTAATTATTTTGAGTTGGAAAGTGCGGGGTATTTTAAAATTCGAGGTAATGGCACATTTCCAGTGTAAAAATAATAGTCGGTAAATATAATTGAAGGTGTGTTACTTTTACTTGAGGGTACCACCACAAATTGTAGTAAAACAGTAAACCGGCGAATTACACCGTTACAGCGGCTACCTACCTACATATCGCCCGCTTTTTGAGAGTGAATCATACGACATCGTGCAACCAATAATCTTGGTTTAGAAAGCGGTGGTGGTCTCGTTCCGATCATATCGAACTACCATCGGTGTGCTGTCGTCCCTTCGCTGGTCTCGGTTTTGCGTTGTGTACGTAATTTGGTCTAAAGTACTTCGTTACGCAATATTTAATTTTATTGTTGGCCTTTGATTCGTATCCTTGTGCATTCATCAAGATGCGTGGACAAGTAGTGCGGAAGTACTGCATTATTCCGTGGACAATTGTCACTTAAGTTTGTCTCATCATTATCGACCATTTTATACAAGTAGGATGACACCCGCGCGTGCTACATATTGATTGCAAATAATTAAACCGTGTAAACTAATTCATTGTCTTCTCTTACAGAACCGCCAACAAGATGAAGCTAATAGTGATAGCCACCACCGTATTGCATTTAGCCTGGGGTGCCTCGATCGTAGACATAACATGCCCGGACACGTGCACCTGCCAAATTCAAGACGAACACTTGGAAACTTCGTGTGTTTCGTACGAATTCATCAAGAAACTCATCCCGAAACAAGAATCGACAATAGTGCGCTTAAACATAAACGATGCTTCGTTAGTTAACGTCGACTTGAAGTTAAAATATCTGAAAAACCTAAATTCTTTGGACTTGTCGAGAAACACCATCCCTGCTCTACCGTCTCAATTCCCGTACTTGCCAAAACTGAGGAATTTCAACATAAGCAACAACCAACTGCGAGATGTCACCTTCTCTCAGCTTCCGAAAAACCTACGAATCATTGATTTGTCGCACAACTCAATCGCGAATTTCCCCAAGGACTGGTCAAGTTTAAAGCAATTGGAAATCCTACACTTTCATGACAACCCCATTGACTGTGATTGTGACAATTTAGCAATCTACGAACAACTGCTAAAAGGAGGCATTGTTATACCCGAGAGTCTAACTTGTTACTCTCCTAAAGAATTCCACGGACGATCGTTAAATTCCGTTAATTGTTCCTTAATCAAGGAAAATTTGTTGAATTCGATGCTAGGTGACCAAGAGTTGGGTTCCGGCGCAGAAGATTTTGATACTCACGAGGAATATAGCAAACTGGCTGAAGAGGATGAAGAATTTTTTAAGGCTGAACAGTTGTCCACGGAACATGTCGAAGACGAACTAGAAGGCAGTGGCGACGAAGGAAGCGGTTTCATACCCATTTTACCCATCCCAGAGAAACCCAAAGCATGCCATTTTAACTGTTCGACTCCTCGTCCAATTGGACTTGACGACGAAAAGAACGCTTCGCCACCACCTTCGGTGCAAGAACAAGCGAAAATACTCTTCGAAGACGTTATATTACCGGAGCAAGTGACCACACCGACCACTCCAGCACCAGTACCAGAAGCGGAAACGGAGCCACAAAAGGAAAAAGAACCAGTAGAGATAGACGAAATGATGGATAAACGCATAATAACAAACGACGTGGAGACTGTTCCAACGAACGACACCATCGTAAGCGAAATGGAAAGGGCTAGTTTTGAAAACTCAAGTTCCAAGTCCGTATATATTATAGTCGGTTTATTGATTGCGTTTGTATCTTTCTTGCTCGTTTATTATATTAATAAGAAGAGGAATCAAAAGAAGCGGAATAATCGTAAGCGCAACAAGTCGCACGAGAACGGTTTCGGCGAGGAGATGAAACCTCTTGGGAAGTCAGCTGAAGTCCAAAAACCAGTGGAGCAGTTGAATTCGAAACTACCCGAATCCGCACCGTTGTTGAATGGACAAAATGGAAAGATCGCAGACGAAAACAACGTAAAATCACCGCCCGAGAATGACGAGGATGATTTAGAAAATGTTGAACTACGTAAACCAGATAAAGAAGAGTCGTTGACACCGCAACCTGAAAGAGTTACGATTAAAGCTGGAGAACTTCCCGATTCGGTTCCGAAGACTCCTTTGCTTGTGCAGCGTCATGTGAACAGTGATGGAGAAATTGTCACTACTGCAGTAAATTCCGATTGAAAGGTACTAGTGATGTGAATACCTCAGTATTTAATAGAAGAATACGTTTGTGATAAAAAAATTATCTTATATCGCGGTCGTTCCTATTATTTAGTCTTCGACATGAAGTCGATACTTACGTGAGTTCGCAGATTTTTAAACTGCATGTTCGACTGTTTATAGGCTATTGTATATTTACTTATTTTTATGTTTATATATTTATATTGTTACCAAAGTAATTTTTTATGTGGAGAGAGATTATACATTTGTAGCAGGATTGGTGCTTTTACTCTAGAATATAAAAGTACTTTTGTGGTAATTACTCGGTCCTTTGCTGTATAGGTTTCTATTTTCTGCCAGTGCCATTAGTTTCGATAAGTTACGAAATTGGGTTTAATTAGCAACTTAAATTAGTCTAATTTAGGGTTTAGTTTACGAATACTTGTGATTTTATTTTATTTGTTTTCTACTTATTTATTTTGAATTGTAAAAAGTCGAAACTAACAGCGAAATTTAAAGTACCCACAATTGTCATTTGTTAAATTGACGCACTTGACGAAATTGTTTTAGTTTACGCGAATAAACCGTGGATCGAGAACAGGGTAGAAAATCAATCAAATCTTTATGTTATGTTATGTCTAGCGTGAACATACTCATATTCACAATATTTCGTTTTTGTATGTTTTACAACTTAATAAATCCGTTTAAATTAAATCGGGTTTTGCAGTCTGCTACCTACACCATTTATGTAATTGAATAACTAAAGAGTGTTCCACTAAGCATCTTCAAGTACGCTGTGGTCTTTATAAGAGAAATAATCTTCAAGGTCTCCATTTAGTACAACCTTTAATGCATTGTTTATGCAATAGACACAATTTCTCTTCATTTGGAAAATTAGTACCTATTAAAATAATCAAAAACTGCTCATATAAATTCAATTAACGATGTCCAAGGTCTGGTCGTAAATTTTTGCCCTTTAAAGTAGTACATACAAGAGTACCAGTAATGGTTACAACGAACATAAAACAGCAATGGCTGACTCAGTGCTAGAGTTTCGAGTGACGCGACGCAAATAGCTTTTCAGATAAGATATGACATTAAACAATTCGATGCAGTACCCGAATGTAAAATTTAGTAACGTTTCGTTCTTAATGTTAGTTTTGAAAAATGGAGTGTTTCGGAAACAGGAAACAAGACGAACGTGCGTTGACTCATGATACGTCCGTCATCGCGGACTTGAAGATCGCGTCCAGTGTGGTCTTGCTTGTCTTTAGATTTTAAAAATATAATGATAGATTGACAAAGTCTATTTAAATTTACACACGCGATATATTATCATACTAATTATGTAAGCTGTACCCAGAATCGCTATTCCTCGGACTAGCGTATTTACACTGATTGTTCTTGTTAATGGCCAACACGCACGTAGATACCGTTTTGTAATGATGAATGCAACTAGCGGAATTTACTCAAAGAATACCAGGAAGTGAGGGGTTCGCAAATGCCTCTGTAAACAGCTTTGCAGGGGTTGATCCTGATATTACGGTTTACTAACGTCAAGGAAACTGAAGACCCCGCAGATAACAATAAAAATATCGCCCCTAATGTATTCTGTCTACGTAGCAATCAAATGTTTATTAAAAAAAATCACAGGAATGTTGTCTGCGTATCTACTTATTACCCTTTCTAATCGTTGTAGAGTTATAATTTGCATTTAATCAGATGTGATAGGCCTCCATAGGGAATATAGTGGTTATTACACTTACCTGTAGTCCGAGTTGCCAAAACCTGTTGGTTTTAGTTTCAACGAAATTTTACAAAAATTGAAAGTCTAATTTGATCACGGTGCGATACAAATGCAGCGTCATGTTTTATTAATCTGGCATAATCGCAAAGTTAAAAAGTGTGCATTTTTAAAAGTTGAACTTTCCACTTTACATAATACATAATCTAAGTGATTATCAAAAGCTTCGCCATAAATTGTATTTGTATTGGGGGAATTATTACCAATCCTATTGATTATAGCACAGGTTCGCTTAGTGTGTGCTACAAAAATTTACAACATAAACCGTTAAAGTATTATGGATGACATTGTAAGTCTGTCAGCAGATCAGGTAGAAAAGTTATGTCTCGTTAAGTACTAGAAAGTTGTGACTTTGTAGCTCGACCTATTAACGTAGGTAGAAAAAATTTCCGGAAATGTATACATTAGTTAAATCTGTAAATGCAAAAATGAAGTTGTCAGGTAGACGTTTGACAAATGGGTTGCGTTTTAGGGAGAAGGATTTAGGTTACACGTCGTTATAAATATTTGTAAATTGACCATTAATGTGCGTATGTAAATAATTCATTATGCCAGAGATTATATTTAATTCCTACGGTATTTGGAATCAATAAATTATTATTAAAATCATTACGAATTGCACAAATACTTCAGCACAAATATGGTCATAGTTGACGTTAGGCTGTGCTAAAAATGTGTTCAATGATCTTTATAACGTGAGTAAGAGTCACCATGATTTGTGACTAATTATATTTTATAAATACTTATTAATAATTGTAACAGCTCTCTCCTCGGCGTAACGACCTTTGTATTTTAAATCTCTCCATAGGTACTACATCTCAACAAATATGCGAACTATTCGAAAAACTTCCATTAATCGTTAGTCACTTGACGTAATATTTGACGTTTCTATTAGGAAGTCATTCTGCTTATTTGTTATAACATTTTCACAAATTTTATGCACGCATTTAAATATTTGTCTTGAGACTGATTTTCAATTTCAAATTTTACGTCAACACTTTTCGAAGTTCAAACGACTGCACACATAATTTGCTGACCTCATTGAAATTTACAGAGGTTATCTCGCCTAACCTTGCAAAAAGCAAGGTATAAATTCAAAATTGCATTTTATTTGCCTTGCCTGTCGTGTATTAGGTTACGTTATGGTCGTCAGCGTGTAAGATAACGGCTTAAAACATCGTATTACTACGGAAAGTCTGATTAAATTGATGAAAGAGCAATCCATCATTGCGAACACGACATAATTTATATTTTAGAAATATATAGATTAACACCATTTCTGCACATTTACTATAAAATTTTGAAAGTTGTTCAGATAAAAGTAAAACAAGAATTATCGCATGACGTGATTACAATTACGTAAATCGTATCTATATTTAACAATAGTGTGAAAATGTTGTCTTTTTTAGATAACTGTATTACAATCTTGGTCGGTTAAAGACTTCCCCGATTAATCGTTTAATTTAATTTAATAACTTGTTTGAGCGAAATGGACCACAGGATAAATAATTTACCGCTTAATTAATAGCGAATTCCTATAAAATCATAAAACATGTAAGTTAACAGCTTTCTTCTCATGCACCGTAATTGCTTGATGGCGAGTTTTTGGAATATTCGCAAGATGTTGGCGAATTGAAAAATCCGGATAATTAAAATTATCTGACTGGAGTTTTAACAACTTTCCCTGAAGTAATTAGGCATATCATTAAACTTCATTTAGGTTGCTGTAATTGTTTATTTGACCATAATTTGTACTTGGGGTTCATTGTCGACGAAGAATTTTATCTCCGAGGCGTAACGGCACGCAATTATTACGTTAAAAGTATTAAGTTACTAATTCGTTTCAGCTACTCCTTATATTGTTGGTCGCTTTAAATTACAACGGATTTTTATCGACTCTAACTCAAACTAAAATTAGGTGATGCAGTTCCTACATATCGTATGGTTTAAATGGGCCGTAGTGGGATGGACTAAATTAGCTCCACTAATTAATACAAGACACTTGTGCTTACCGGAAGGAGTCTAGTAAAAAAAAGAATCTGAGCAATTTTTACCTAAGTAAGACGTGTCGGGACCCACAGAAACCACTTAGACCTTGACCAGAAGTAAGTCCCTGAAAAATGTAGATACCACTAGCTGATAATCGTACCTATTGGTTTTGAGACGCGACGTCATAAATTTGAAGCATTAGTTTTATTGCAGCGCATTCTTCTTTGTAACAATGATGCGACACGTAGTGAAATTACATTGCACTTGTTTTCACGAATTTAGCAGTCGTCATGTCGCTGAGGCATGTTTTTCGTAATTAGTTTGTGTTATATGGTATTAATGCTTTTTCTTGGGATTATCAGTGATAATATCGACGCCAGTGTATCATCACTTTTACTATTATTACAACATTCCGCTGCTACGTTCCAAAATTCTGTTGTTTATGTAGCCTTGAGATATTGTTAAATGAGATAAAAATATTTTTCACAAACTACATACTTTACTCAATTTTAAATAGGAAGTTTCAATTTCAAGTATTATGTAATGATTTTGAGCGCGCAGACTAAGCTACGACACGACTGACGTTTGATAAGATTAAGACTGCAATTTTTAACACTTTCGGATTGATTAAAAATCACGTGTTGTCAAGAAATAAAAATCTGTGATATCTTCCTCATAGTTTTAACCCGATTTAAACTTCGGGGCTTGAGTAAACTGTTATTGAATCGCTCGGCGACAGAAGTTAAAACCCACAAAATAATAACTCTTATCGCCGTTCTTATCGGTTCACCTACGTACTATTTACCATTACCTGTGTCGTACTGTCTTGATCGTTTTAAATTTCAAAGCGGACTGTCACCATCGAACTTCGATCTAATTTTTAATAGTAGTATAAAAAGTTGTTGGCATTTCCGGTTTAAGCAGACTTCTTTCAGAGATTTGGTATTGTTTTGACGGACTGGAGATCTTTTTGTGGTTTAGTTTACAGGACCCAAGGTCATCCTTTATACGAGTGTTTTGATTCTAGGGTGAACTGTCAGCGTCGGTGTCTTTGTAGCTTTGTCATTTCTTCGAAAATTTATCGTGTCCAGTGTTCTATCGGAAATGCAGATGTTTTCTTATCGAACAAACAACGTATTTTTCTTGTTTGTAATCTAGGGTTTTTAACTTGACTTTGTTGTTGTTGGTAGTTGAAACGTACACAACGTGACGTTACGTTTTACGTGTGACGGCCAAGTAACAATTATGTTATAATTATGATTGTGATAAACTTCCTTTATAATTTAAATTTAATCAAGCAATAGCATTGTTCTTGACGCAAGTGCTTATGTTGCCTATGGGTTGTGTCACCTTACATTAGCATACTTTTCTTGGTAGAGAAGGCTGAATAATTTTATTTGGGACCAGAAGTATTAAGCGTCACAGAATTAGAAAAAGTAGAATGAATAAATTATTAGTTCTTTTTTATTTCCACGGTTTGCTAATAGGTTATACAATGCAGTTTAATTCGGAAACGTTTTTAAATTAATGTTTTATTTTAAATATTTGTTCAAATTTTCGATTATGCGCATTTTGGCTAAAGTTCTTCCATCACATGGTAATTATTTTAAAATGCCAAGGTCAAAATGGGGTTTATATTTTAAAACTAAATAATACAAAGTTCAAGAATTTTTTCGTTACCATGAATTTAGGGAAAAAACGTTACGTATTCGAATCCCGTGTGTTATCATTATCACTTATCAGTGATATCACCTCAATTACTGCGCCTATGGTTGAGAATTGGAATGAAATCGTGATGATTTAACTCCAACTATATTAACATGCTTAAGAAATAAACATTCAGAAAAGGAAAATAAGATAATGTGAGAAAAGAACTATAAGTATATAACTGAATACACATGACGACATAATTATAAGTAAA